TGTAGCCAGCAGCCAGCGTGAGCGGCCAGCAGCCGCTGTGAGCAGCCGTCCAGAAGCCGGCGACTGATCTGCCTCGCCCGTGAAGAGCGCAATGATGGTGCCAACTTGGGCCAGTGAAGCAACGTCCTCCACAACTAGACTGAAGAACAAAAACAACAGCAACTTGTTTGTTCCCCTTCCCCCGATTCCCCAGCACTGTTCCCATCCCCCAATAAAAATCTTTAAAAAAAAAATAAATAAAATAAATAAATAAATAAATAAAATGACCGGCCTGACTTTGGCACTCAGATCTAACTGCTTTCCACCCAGGAGACAGCCGAGGGCTCCTTGGCTTCCTAGCCCTGCAGGGCGATGGGCAATGAGCTCTAGGTTAGTGCGTGTCGTGTGTGAGTGGAGGGAGGGCTGGTTTTTGTTGGGTATAACTGAAGGAGAAAAAATTGCCCCAGTTTCCAACCTTTCTCTTCTCTTCATCCTGGTTTTCTTCCTTTATTTAAACTTTGTTATTTGATGAGGGCCTTTGGGTGTGATACTCACTTGCCCTGAGTTTCTCATTTATCACAGCATGGGAACCATTGTACTCTGGAGACCTTGGTGGACACCAGTGTGTGGCAGCTTTTGACCGTGCGTGTGTGTGTCCGTGTGTATGATCTCTTGTACTCTCAACCCTTCCACTCTTAAATGTTTATTTTGAACAAAATAAAAAGCTTTCAGCAAAGTTGAAAGAATAGTACAGTCAATACACAAGTGGCCTTTCCCTAGTAAAAGCTCAGTTATTGTTTGTCACATTTGATTTCCCTCTTGTGTCTGTGTTTGTGCATGTGTGTGTATGTATGTGTGTCTGCATGTGTATGTGTGTGTGTGTATCTGAGTGTGTGTATGAGTATGTGTGTGTGTGTGTATGTGTGCGCATGTGTGAGTGTGTGCGCACGCATGCTCATTTGCCCCCACCACCTGAAAGTGTGTGGCAGAGACCATGAGCATGTCTCCTAAGGGCATAGTCTCAGTACTCTTGATAGAATTGGCCCATTTATATTATCTAATGTAACTCTGGTTCCAGTTGTCTGAGTAATGTTATTTATATCCTTTTACTCGTAGGTTATTTCTTTGATCCAGGATTTAACCACAGATTATGCATTGTATTTAGTTGTCATTCTCTTCAGTCTCCTTAATCTATTGTAGAATAATCTTTTTTGTCTTTCACAACACAGGCATTTTTATTTTGTAGAATGTCCTACAGTGTGAATTAGAGTAAAGTGACAATTTTCAGTGTACCATATAGGTCAGTTACATAGTTACATACTGTAGAACACGCCATATGTAATGTTGTGTATACCCCCATTTCGTGCATGGAATTTTGTTTATTTTCTGAGTTTTCCTGCTAATGAAGACAGAATTTGCACACACACTGTTATAAAGAGGCAGGCAGTATAGCAGTGGGAAAGGGACGGTGAGCCCTACTTGTGCCATTACCAACTCTGTGACCTTGGAGAAATGATTAAACCACTTTGTGCAATAAATTGCTAATTGTTAAATAGAGTGACCGATATTACTTTACTCCAGAGATTGTCGTGAGGATTAAACGTATTCATTTTTGTGAAGTTAGTTTATGTAAAGTCTTGCATAGCATAAGTACTCAATAAATGTTTACACTTATTATTTATTTTCCTAGTAATTTATAATCCTTGTCAGTGGAGATATTTAAAACTAGCCTTATGTACATTCCCAGTGGTAGAGTTCAGCTTTCTGTGCGTTTTCTGGTTGTCAGTGTCCCCAAAGCACAGGAATCGCCTTGGGCCAGCTCGTGCTGCCCGCAGCAGGACCTTTGTGTTTGTTTGCTTAGTGTGTGCTTCAGCTCTGTGTTGTGAAGCAGTGTTTCTCACCTCAGCTTGACACAGGGACATGTGTGCGCTCTACTGCATAAATGTCTGATAAATGCCTGTTAATGTGGCAGGCAGTGTCCTTGATCTTGGGACTACTCTGGCGGCCGGTCTGGGAAATAGAGTTTAACCCAGGTAGCAGATGCCTGTGTTCTACCAGTGAGGTGGGGAGCTCACCTGGGTGATGACCAGCGCGTGTCAGGGCCGTTCGGGGGATGCTGTCTGGACTGAGTGGCGGCACAGTCTCGGCAGAGGGCACAGCAGTTCAAGGGCCTGGAAGTGCCTGAGCATTATGTCAGCGACTAAAGGAAGTTCAGGATATATGCAGTTTTGAGTGTACCTGGAAAGGGTGAGATCAGGGATGGGAGCCTTAGAACTGGGTCACCATATCATTTATGTCCAGATGTGTCCGGACACTTTTCAGAGTAAAAGAAAGCACTGTTAATAATTATGTTGGACAGCAGTGTCCCAGAAAGCTGGGATGGGTCCCACTGCTTCAAAGGCCTGTGGAAGAATGTGGGCTTTACCCAAGGGCATGTGCTGGTTGTGTCCTCATGGCATTCTAGAGGCTGGATTGGAAGTTCAGAGCTGTGTTTTCTGAGCCTCACCTCTGAGACACGGTGTGAACAGACAGTGAGGGTTCCGTGCCCTGTGGTTGGATGGGCTTCATAGAATGCGTCCACTTAGGCTGGCGCTTCTGCCACCACACCGAGGACCAGAACTTCAATACGAGATTTTAGACCAGATGTTTTAGAATTGGCGTGTTTCCATAATGTTGTATGTTGGATGGCTCACATGTTACCTTTCCACATCACAGGGAATGGGTTTAAGATGATACGGCTGGCTGGAGACAGATAGTAGATCAGAATCTCTCTTATTTGGTCGAGCCTTGGCCTGGCTCTTAGTGAGCTGACTTTCGTCTACTGAACAGTACCTGGAGCAGCTAGCATTTATACAGCATGTAGTGTGCACTGGGCACAGCTTGAAGAACATTTAATCCATTACAACCCTGCTACCCCATTTCACAGGCGAGAAAGCTGAGGCTCTGAGTGTTAACTGTCTCACCCAGGGTCATGTAGCCAGTACATAATGGGGTGTGGGTTTGCATCCAGCTCTTTCGGCCTTGAGTCTGTGTAACCATTGGGCTACACTACCCTCAGAGGTAAGTGGTGTTTTAGGAGCAGCAGGCAAGTGAGAAATTTGGGAGTGTTTTTGTATTAGATTTCTATAAAAATTTTTACTTTGATTTTATGTTTTACAGCCTCCAAAAGTATGTCCGGGAACAGATTCTGTTAGCAGTAGCAGTAATTGTAAAACGGGGATCACTAGATAAATCTATTGACTGCAAGAGCATATTTCATGAAGTCAGCCAGCTGATCAGTAGCGGCAACCCTGCTGTGGTAAGTGTGCTCGCTGTTTGTGTTTGTAAAGACTTCCCGCTGTGTTTGATTTTCAGGGTGTAAAATATTATGAGCTAATAAACCATAATATTCTTAGCCATTTCCCTTCTATTGCACATTTTCCTCTATTTTCAGTAAGCCTTTGACAACTACTGGTGATAATAGAAATGTTTGGGTCAAATAGAAAGCGCTGTGTGACATAACATTATTAGACGTTGCTGTACCAACAGATGTGCTGTGTGTAGTACACTGTGACTTCCAGGTGCTCCTGTCACCTGGACAAACTGAGAACCTTGTTTCTGACTGAATTGCTCTGAGGAGCCGATTGTTTTCTCCCCTCTCAGTCTCCCTCTGGGAACTCTTCGTGCCTGCAGAGTGACTATTTGGTTGTCACGACTCTGTCACAGGCAGGAGGAATTGGAGTTGGTGTTAGTGAGCAGCTGTGAAGCTTGCTTAGAGCTGTTGACTTATTAGCTGTGTGGTATCTAACTCCTGTGGAATTGGGATTGGTAATAATCCCAATGATTTAAATGTGAATCATTAGAAAGGTGCCTGTGCGAGCCTTACACCTTACATCCCTTTATGAACTACAGACGTGCTCAGCCCCGCAACATTTTAGTTGTTTCGCTGATGGCCTGAGGTTAGGACGTGGTGGTTCCCTTTAGGAGGACCGCACACTGTCTCTTCCTTCCCAGTTTCCTGGGTCTCTTCTCCCCCACCCCCGACTGTGTGCCCAGGTATGCGCTCACCCCACTGCCCACTATGTCCTCTGTAGGTTCTTGGCTGAAGGAGGACAGAAGCAGGTGTCAGGACGGGGAGCTACCTGTACACACCCGAGGAATTTGGATTTTCCTTTGGAACCCACCAGTGTTCCTGTGTCTGTTCTTTCGAAGTGGAGGCAGGCATTACTGCACCCACTTGCAGTGTATGTGTGGCTGGGTTGTGACAGGCATGTACGCCCATGAACGACCACCAGTCAGGGCTCACAACACTTGTCCTTGCGTCCTGATTTCTGACCAATGGGCACTGCATTCTGTGCCATGTTGGCGGCAGGTTCTGCAGATACAGACTCGTGTGTCATGTGTCTGGGCTCCTATGTGGCTTCTGAGCATTTGAGATGTGGCTGGTGTGACTGAGGAACTCAGTTTTCAATTTTAGTTAATTGTAGTTAATTTACATTCAAATAGCCTTATGTAGCTAGCTAGTTACAGCTGTATTTGGACAGTGTAGTTCTAGAGACTTCGAGGATCCAAAAATTTAATGGTATGTCCTTTTCACTTAATCTTAGTATTATAAAATGCACTTGTTTATGTAAAACCAGTAACTTCAAAAATGTGCATGTTTGAATCACTACATTCTAGGAGTCATTTGGCTTGTTTTATGTGGTGAGAAGCTCTCTTGAGAGTAGTCCCCAAGCGAAGGTTCCATTTACTGTTTCTGAGGTACAGGAGATTGGTCGTGGCACTTTGGGGACCTCTCTCAGACATGGCCCCCATTCTGAGAAGGGCTGTACTCTGGGTTGCCCACCTTCGTTGTGTCGCCGTGATGTTGTTACTTGGTGGGGAGCTTGTTCTGATGGCCTGTGTGCAGTCCAGGGTTGGCTGTCACTGATGGTCTTGGGAAGAACAAGGGGTGGAGCTGACTAGCCAGAATGTGCAGGGGACAGGTTTGGAACTAAGGCTGCTGCTTGAGAATGTTATCCTAGCCCCCACTGCTCTGAGTCCAGTACCTCCATGTTCCAGATTCTACTTAAGGACATGTTGTTTCATATGACAGTCACAGTGAAGGAGTCCAGCTAATGGAGACTGACCAGGATTTAAACTTTAGGAGCGTAGCCACTAACCCTGGCATTGGATGCTTATGACTAATGCCTGTCCCTTGTCAGGTTGGTGATCACATCGGCTAGAATTTCAGTGTTAAGGTAGAATTTCTGTGCCCGTCCTCATTCCGCCCACATAGCTTCTTGGCACCCAGACTCTGAAGGCACAGGCTCAGGAGTCCCTTGTATCTCTGAGGAATGAGCACACTTCCTTTTCCCTGGGGCTGTCTGACCCACCACAGGAAACCCCAGTGCAACCAGCAATTGGCCTTTTTTGAGCCGCTGAAATAACTGATGTTCTGAGAATGATTGGAACAGATGTAGCTGATAGGGAAGATTTTGCTATATTCAGAATGCGTGCACTTTGAGAATAGTGGATAAATTTAATATCCTCTTGAAATATTTCAAAACAAAGATTTTTTTAAAGTTGAATTTCTACTAACAGAGTTAAAAACTTTTTACAGCACTGGGAAGTCAGTGGTGGGAGGTAGAATTTAATCTCAGGATTGCAGGGTGAATTTATTGCTGGGCGACCACACTGAAAACATGAAGCTTAAAAAGTCCTCCTTGGGGGCGGCCGGTTAGTTCAGTTGGTTAGAGCGCAGGCTCATAACACCATGGTTGCCAGTTTGATCCCCACATGGGCCACTGAGCTGCGCCCTCCACAGCTAGATTTAAGGCAACTACTTGACTTGGAGCTAAAGGGTCCTGGAAAAACACACTGTTCCCCAATAAAAAAAAAAAAGTCCTCCTACATTTATGTGGCAAGGTTATTGCCCTCTGTGTGGCTGTTCCCATTGGCCCTTGCCTGGCAGGTCAAAAAAATGAGGTTACAGACCAGTAAAGCGTTTCAGTACATCTTCCTTTCTCTGTCTTTCCCTCTCAGACTGTTAATTTGTGGGAGCGGTTCAAGAATTTACTTAAGGTTTTCTTAGTCTCAGAGGTGTGAACAGCAGTGGAAGAGAGGTTTAAACTTTGATAAGAAAGTAGAATGATAAAATAAGAACATTGATACAGTGGCTAGCAACTTTCTTCATAAAGTTGATTGTAAGAGCAATTTGAAAAGAAGAGATAATTTACTGATGGTTTTCTGTGGATGGAAGAAAGCGTTGTCCTCGTGAGTTAAGTTAGGTGACTAAGCTCCATGGGCCAGAGCTGCATGGAGTCTGGCTTTCCTTCTTCCCTCTCTGGGGTGGCCCGTCCCCTTGGACCAGTCTATGCCCATGCTTAAATGAGTTTCGGGGCAGTAGGATAATACAACACCAGTTTTGGTTGTGGAGTCACGTAGGGCTGCCCAGAAGAGGAGGGCAGCTCTCAGAGCCTTCAGTGGGCCACAGCACGTGTCCTGCCCAGCGGTCCCCGCCCCTCATCCAGTGTGGGGACATGAGCGCTATTAAATCATCCTCTTTTCTATCCAGTAATTTTTTTTTATCTAGTACTATTTTAAGTATTGAAAACAGGAAGGATTTATGTGATCCATGAATAAAAGCTGATTGTGTATGAATGAAAAGAAAACGGGAAACTAACATATCGGCTCTCCTTTAAAAGCCTTAAAGGATTATTTTATGATCTTGGTTCTCTGCAGATGGTTCTTTGGGAAAATGTCTAGTTAATAAATTTGCTACGGAGATGATGTTTCTTAGACACAGTACAGTTCCCCAGGTACCGTAACAGACTCTTAGAGTAATTAATCTCGTACAGTCAGGAAATGCTGTGTTGCTTCATGCCAGTCTTCGTGGGTGGGCTGTTTTCCTCCTATGGTTACAAAGGTTGCTAAGGTGACTTCTTCCCAGTTTGCAAGTGTCAGATGTACTGTCTGCTCACTCAGGAGGGATAGACATGGAGACTTTACCTCCACGGAGAGCAGCTCCTTTTTTTAAATTGTAAATTAACGTTTAAGCTCACTTTTTCATCCATTTCATGTTTGTTTTACTTCCTCTGGAAGTGGTAGGTATACATGAAATCACTTTTAAAGCTGCTTCATTTAACATTTACGCCTCCTTCCTTCCTCTCTGTTGTGGAGCGAGAAGTGGGTGAGAAGTTCCCTGTCCACAGCAGTGCTGCCCGGGTCTGATGGCCAGCTTCATCTGTCTTCTCACAGGTCTCACTGATGTTTGCTGAGGGGCAGCTGGGTGTCTGCTTTATGTACGGTGGGTGACCTTTCCTAAAGTTTATTCTTGGTAAGAAAGTTCCCAGGGTAAGAGCCAGGTTATTATGAGAAAAGCCTCTCTGGACAAGAGTGTTTTATTTTGTCAGCTGGAGTTAGTGTGTCAGTATCTTGTGCTTGTGACAGTGAGCTGTTGAGTGAGGCAGGCTATGTCTGAGGGAGTTTTCATTGTCATGAAAATAATGGCTTTTACTAGAAGTGTGAATGCCACTGTAAGACTTGAATGCAAAGCCATCAGCTACTTGGTTGTTAGAGGGTTAGCTTGTGAATTTTTAATACTCCATTGAAAGAACAGATTAGATGATTTCATAATCTTGAGGCCTCATTGAGTTTCTTCTACTTGTTTCACATATTTACATTTTCTTTTTGAAATTTATCAAGTGCTAACAACATAGAGAGTACATGGTGTGTTTGTTTTCCACTTGCCTTATGTTAGTACAGTGTCAGGTGTAGAAGTAACGTTGATCCATTAATCGAGGTAACATTTACCGAGTATCTGCTCCATGCGTTCATGATGCTTTAGTTCTGGCTTTTCTTTACTAACTGGTAACTTATCTTGTGATTTTAATTTGGTGGAATGTAGGTAACAATCAAGAAGTAGGACCAGAAAAGCCAAAATAGGTGGTAAATTTTTATGATGCAGATAAAAAGCACTGTTGCCACATTACCTTAGGGGGCCTGCCACATCTGCAGAGTACTTTATCTGCATGTTGTAATTGGAATGTCAGCACAGTCATGGGAGCTAGGCAGGGCAGAGGGTGGTAACCCTCTTCTTATAGATGAGAAAACGGAGGTCAAAACAGCTGAAAGAATTTGTCCTCCATTACTTAAAGTGGTAAATCTTGTACTGTTAGAAACCAGGTTTTCTGGCTTCTTTGTCTAAACAGTGAGATTCTTGTACTGGACCCTGGGAAGGGTCCCACAGTGTTTTTATTTAGAATTTATTTTGGTTAGAGTTTTAATAAATTTTTTTTCTTAAGATTTTATTGGGTTATTAGGGGGAGGGTAACGGCA